TCCGGCTGTCCTTTGGGAACATCCTCTGTCCTCTCCTCCAACATAGCCCTGACCAGAGCAGGAGGTGCTCTATTCCCATGAGCCTGCAGAGACAGTTGCCTCCATGGTCACCCACAGAATCCTGGCTATCACTTGAGGACAGCAGAGTATTTTCCAGAACCTGTGGTGTATGTCTGAGCACAGACACTGGAAAGCAAGGGCTTACGGTCGCTTGCTCTGAAGTAACTGGGGATGTTTTACAAACTGCCACAGGATAGTGCCCCAAAGAGGACCCTCTGCAGTCCCAACCTCCCATTCCTCTGTGCGTTGTGAAGAGTCTCTTTATATCCTCATCTTAACCCCTTTCAAGAGAAAAGCCATTCTCTTAAGACAACCTGGGGTGTCATACATGGAAGGAAGGACAACCCAGAGGCTGAGGTGACATGCAGACAACTTTAATGAGTCTAAAGAGGGAATCAAGGTCGTTCCAAGAATAAGCACTCAGTGCATGGATAATGAGAGGCAAGCAAGAGACTGCAACCTGACTATGATGAAGTTCATGCAGAGTGCAGACTGGCTATGAAGAGGATTGCAGCTGAGGGGAGCAGAAGAGAAGAAAGGAAAGAGAGGAAAAGAGGTAGGTGAAAAAAAGGAAGGAAAGCCAGGGGCCATGTTTCCAAAGACCCAGGCTCTTCCTCTCCTGCAAATATATTCCAAAGGAGCTGAAGATGATCAGTTCTGGTGAAAGCAACAGCCTGAAGATCCATCCTTTGTCCAGCACAATGTGCAGAGAACTTAGAGAAATATCCCGGGATGTATATAAGCCCAAAAACTTTAGCAGGGGGGGCACCGCCTGCCGCAGTAGCGGTTGGTGATGCAGGAGAGGTCAAAGCCCCCAGAGTTGATGGGCACACCCTCACAGCTCAGGATGCTGCCAACAGCAGCGGAGGTGGAGGAGCCCACAACGGTGTTCTGTGGGAAGGAGCTGAGGATGGGGCCAGGCAGGGTCACCACCACGGGGGAGGGCTCAATGACGACAGTGGAGCTCTGGCACTGCCGCACACAGGGCTCATTGCAGCTGTTGGCCAGTGGGGTTGGGCCACACGGCTGGCAGCAGGGTACACAGGGGTTGCAGCAGGACATGTCTTGGGGCTTGAGGTGCACCTGAGAGAGGTTAGAGAGGAAACAGAGAACAAATGTGGGTGAAGAGCAGCCTGTGCACCCTATCACAAAGGACCCATGACCATCAATGAGTGACAAGCTCAAGACCATCAGTGAGTTACACGCTGAATATTCTGCTGGGAGCCACATGGTCTTCAACGCCTCATTCAGCAAGGGCCCTATAAAGAGCAGCCTAACCCAAGGAAGCTCTCTCCTAGTGCATAAACCAAAACCAAACAAAGTTACATCCCAGACTTTCTCTAAGCAGACCTTCTCCCCACTTCCTTCTGTTGTCATAAGGTGTTCCAGTCCCCAACATATTGCAAAACCCACATCAGCTGAGATGTACATCAAGTGGATCTCGACATTTGGAAAAGGAGGAGAAGGGTTTTCAGACTCACCTGGGTCTCAGGAAGAAGGATACAGGAGAAGTGGATGAGAGAGCAGAGACTTGGGCTGCCTTTTATACCTGCCCCTCATTGCCCCAGGACCAGGGTCACTCTTGGCAGAGGTAACAATTTCCTGACACATGTGTCCTGAATGCAAACCATCACATATGGGCTGCGGTATTACTTCCTGCACTGCTTCCCTTTCATTTCCAGGTTTGTGCCATGCCCATTCTCCAATAGAGGTTTCCTCAGAGCTCTGGGATGAAAGGCCCCAGGAATTGTCAGGCAGAAAGGCAGCAGTGTGCAGGAATGCAGCAGTGTGGGTAGAAGACTGAGATCAAGTGCAGGATTGGTCTAGAGCAGGTAAGTGACATTAGGCTGAGTCCTTCTGGTGGGGCTGTTTGAAGTGTTACTCTCAGGAAGAAGCTCCAGCATTCCTCACCTGAATGCCCAAGGACCCTTCCCTATGAGGTCATGCCCATCCTTCTCTTTTCCCTCACCAGCTCGCTCTAATGGTGTTTCCTAAGGCATGTGTGTTGTGTTACTTCTTTTGACCCCATGCTGCCTAACACTGCCCTCAGGAATAATTTTTGGATTTTGACTCATGTCCTCTTTGTATACTCTGCGAGTACACAAACAGTGCCTCAGGCACTCCGGGGTCTTTGTCCTTTCCCAGAATTCTGTAGCCCAGCCTCTGTTTTTCCTGGCTGTTCTCAGGAGAGGCCACAACATGTTGTGTTCCTACAACGTTGACCTTGACAGTCTAAAGATGTGGACCTGTGCAAATCCCTTTATCTTCAAAAAGGTCAAGTGTAAGGTCCTGCAGCTGGGTCAGGGCAATCCCAAGCACAAATACAGGCTGGTGGATGAGTGGCATGAGAGCAGTCCCCTGGAGAAGTACTTGGGGGTTTGGTGGATGAAAAACTAAACATGAGCCAGCAATGTGTGCTCACAGCCCCGGAAGCCAATTGCATCCTGACCTAAATCAAAAGATGTGTGGCCAGCAGGTTGAGGGAGGTGATTCTCCCTCTCTTCTGTACTCTCATGAGACCCCATCCGCAGTTCTGTGTCCAGCTCTAGGGTATCCAACATAAAAAAGAACTTGGTCCCGTTGGAGCAAATTCAGAGGAGGGACACAAAAATTATCAGGGGCCTCTGAGGACAAGGCTGAGAGAGTTGAGCTTTGTTTAGCCTAGACCAGAGAAGGCTCCACGGAGCTGCTGAAGCTCTAGTGTAGACAAGGGCCATCCTCATTGCTTTCTCATGAAGTGATGGGCCCAGTGGAAGAGGGCAGGACAGGACATGTGTGTACCTGGAGTTTATTAACACTATTGACAAAATCTCTGTTTCCTTTTTAACAAAATTGGAGGTGAATGAGTTTAGTTAGAGGATGATAAGAACGGTGGAAAATTGACTGGACTACCAGGCACAAAGTGGTCTTACCATGGCGAATGGGCTGACTAGAATGTCATGAGGGTCAAAAAGAGCATAGAAAGGTTTTGAGTCTGTTGAAGGAACTAACCCATGCAGTCATGCCAGCTGATTCCTGGCTACCTAGGAAGCAGATCCATGGGAAAGGTTGTGGGGTTTTAGAAGAGACAGTCCAGAAGAGCAGGCATCAGCGCTCAGTGGCAAGGGCTGTGTTCATTCTCCAATGCATCTCTCCCCATCCCTGCCTGTCTGCCATCTCATTTGCCTCTTTCCCAACTCTGAGTGTCTGCTCGGTATTCTTACATTGTGTCCACCAACTCAGTAGGATTTTAACTGCATTTCAGTATACCCAGTCTTTCCCTTGCACATTCAGTGGTTATTAGCTTGAACTTAGCCCTCTCTCCTTCACTGTAACACTGACTCACCCTGCCAGCTTTTCTCTCTCTCTCTCCATGCATGCATCCACCCACCCATCTGTCTTTTAACACATCTCTATGCATCTACCATGTCTAACTCGTACTTTACTCTCTGAGAGCCCTCTGTCATCCTTCCCTTTGATTTCTTCATATCTGTAGGCACAAGTTTGCTTTCCCACACTTTGCTATTATTGCATACAACCATGCAGCCCCCTGTGCATTCAGCATTCATTCTCATTCATTCTCTCCTACACTGCAATAGTCCCAACTCTCCTGTGTATTCTTCCTCCATCCAGCCATCCATGCATCTGACATTTGTCCCATCTTTCCATGTTCAAATACCTCCCAGCCTTTTCTCCTTGCTCCACAAACTAACATCAGGATCATTCACCATCCCTGCCTCTAGTGGAACACGTCCCCAACTGTTCCAGTCCAGTTCTGTTACTATTCCTGACCATGTCTCTGGGAAATGAGCCATCAGAACTGAGTGATCTAAAGTGATTTTTGGCCTTTTCTTCCCCAGCAGTGGCTGCTGGTGGAGCCCAGATGCAGAAGCAGCCATCAAAAATGGCATCAACACTATCAGCTCACATCCTAATATAGAGGCTTTCAAGCTCATCCTCTGGTATCATTTGCTCCCTGGTTGAGGCCGTGTTGCTCATGAGCAATGTAAAAAGTTCCACAGTGCTCTCAGAGGTTCCACAGTGTTATCACTGCTAGTAACACACTGTCTGCAAAAACATGCTTCTAACTTTAGAATATGGAGCCTTTTAGAAGAGACTAAACTGGAAAGTAAAAATTACTAAAGAGAATGGGGCTTTTTAGCTAAAACCAGGACACCTGAGAGTCCTGTGGAGGAGATGTGGAAGCCTTGGAATCAAGGCACAGCACAGGCCAGCCAAAGACGGCTGTAAGTTGAGGGAGATATGCTCACTGGGGAATTAGTGCCTTCTCACTACCTGTGATGCTCACTTGGGTGAGGGACTTCTGCAGGGTAGAGGTAACGGAAGCGAGAGGATGAATCTCTTTGCTCCCAACGAGGTGTATTCAAAAAGGAACTTCACTTCTTCTGGAAAGCCCGCCACAGAGCCTGCTTCACTTCTTTGTTCCTGAGTGTGTAAATGAAGGGGTTCAACAAAGGAGTCACAACTGTGCTGAAGACATTCATGAGTTTGTGCCGATCCAAGGAGTTCTCAGCTGATGGCTTGACATACAGGAATATGGTGGAACCATACCAGATCGTGATGACACTGAGATGGGCAGAGCAAGTGGAGAAGGCCTTTTTCCGGCCACGGGCTGACTGGATCCTCAGGATGGAAGAGATGATGTATATGTAGGAGATGAGCGTGGCCACACAGGAGGCCACGACAACAATTATGGAGACAAGGAAGGTTGCCAGCTCCACGGGCTGTGTGTCACTGCAGGAGAGGGCAAGGCAGGAATCTATGTCACAGAGGAAGTGATTGATGACATCTGGCCCACAGAACGTCAGCCTGGATGTCAGAAAGGCCAGCAGTGAGATGGCCAGAAAGCCTCCCAGCCAGCAGCTGAGCGCCAGGCGAGCAGAGACAACACTGTTCATGAGGGATTTGTATCTCAGAGGGTAGCATATGGCTAAGTAGCGGTCATAGGCCATGACAGACAGGAGGAAACATTCAGTGGAGCCTAGGGAGAGAAGGAAGAACAACTGGAGGATGCAGACACGGACGGAGATGGTCTGGCTAGTCCCCAGCATGACTCCTATGGCTTTGGGAACAACACCTGTAGTGTACCAGATCTCCAGAAAGGAGAGATTACAGAGGAAAAAGTACATTGGGGTATGGAGGTTGCTGTTCATCTGCACAAGAGCTATGATGGATGTGTTGCCTATTACTGTCAGGGAGTATGTCAGTGCAAATACCACCACAAGGGAGACCTGTGCATGCCATGTGCCTGTGAAGCCAAGAAGGATGAATTCCTCCACACTTGTTCCATTTGCCATGTCTTCCTGAGTGTTGAGGTCCATCTGCAAAGAGAGGAACACTTCCGTGAGAGTTTGCCTGCATGTGTGGATCCTTCAGATGCTACTAGTAGTGAAACAAAACCACCACCCCTGAAGATGCAGTTGGTGCAGAGCATGGGGAAATCACAGAATCATAAAAACACAGAATCACAGAATGTTACAGTTTGGAAGGGACCTTGAAAGGTCATCTAGTTCAACCACACTCCCAAAGCAGGATCACCTAGATTCGGTCACATAGGAATGCATCCAGGCATTTCTGAATGTCTTCAGAGAAGGAAACTCCACAACCTCTCCGGACAGCCTGTGCCAGGGCTCCGTCACCATCACAGGGGAAAAGTTTTTCATAATGTTTTTGTGGAACCTCTTATCCTCCATCTTGCACCCATTGCCCCTTGTCCTGTCATTGGACATCATTGAGAAGAGCCTGGCTCCGTCTTCCTGACAATGACCCTTTACATATTTATAAACATTAGTGAGGTCACTCCTCAGTCTCCTCTAAGAGACCTAAAAGTCTCTTTAGCTAAAGCTCCTTCAGTCTTTCCTCATAAGGGAGATTTTCCACTTCCTTCATCATCTTTGTGGCTCTGTGCTGGACTCGCTCAAGCAGTTCCCTATTCTTGAACTGAGGGGCCCAGAACTGGACACAATACTCCGTATGCAGCTTCAGCGGGGCAGAGGAGATGGGGAGGAGAACCTCTCTTGACCTACTAGCCACATGTCTTCTAATACAGTCCAGGATGCCATTGGCCTTCTTGGCCATGAGGGCACATTGTTGGTTCATGGGCATCCTGCTCTCCAGCAGGACCCCCGGTCCCTTTCCTTTACACTGCTCTCCAACAGGTCAGTCCCCAACCTATAGTTGAACGTGGGGTTGTCCTTTCCCAGATGCAAGACTGCACTTGCACTTGTTGCATTTCATTAATTTTCTCCCTGCTCATCTCTCCAGCCTATCCAGATCTTGCTGGATGGCAGCATAGCCTTCTGGTGTGTCAGTCACTCCTCCCAATTTTGTGTCAACAGCAGACTTGCTGATGATGCACTCTATTCCCTCATCCAGATCATTGATGAAGGTATTGAATAGTACTGGTCTGAGTACCGAGCCCTGAGGGACTCCACTAGAATCAGACCTCCATCTAAACTCTGTCCCATTGACCACAACTCTCTATCTTCTTTCCTTCAAACAGTTCCCAATCCACCTCACTACCCCATCTTCTAGACTACACTTCCTCAGTTTAGCTACTAGGACACTGTGGGAGACGGTGTCAAATGCTTTTCTGAAATCAAGATAAACCATGTCCATTGCACTGCCATCATCTATGCATCTGGTTATGACCTCATAAAAGGCTATCAGGTTAGTCAGACATGAATTCCCCTTGGTAAAACCAAATGGCATCTACTCTAAGTTAAAATGTCGGGGAAATCCTTTACTGCATAACCATATTTGGACACTTGGATCTGACCATGAAGTTCAGGTCCACACTACCAAATGAACTTGGAGAACTACTTAGATCAGATCAAGCACAGGCATCTCCTTTAGAACATGATCACTGCGGTCACTTCTGTGAAATGAAAATCCCATTTATGAAGCTGTGCACCCTGGTTTGAGAGTAGCAGGAGAAAAACATGAAGGTTTCCAGCTACGTGAAATGTTGTAGTTAGGAAAGCAATAACATAACCGGCACTATTCAAGGCAGGAAATACTGAGTTGTGGTTTCAGCAAATGAGACAAAGGGATCGGATGACAACTTGGCACAGGAGGAGATTTTATCACTTCTTCAGGTGAGGTTTCCAAACAAGACAGCTGCAGCACAGGGCAACAAGCTGCATGACAGTCATTACTAAAGCACTTGGGGCTCTTGTATATTTTCTTTCTTTGAGGTCTCAGCACAGAAAGCTTTTGCGAATACCTTGTCAAGATTGGGCCAGCCAATCAAATGACAGATGGTCTCTATTAACTCCTCTCTTTTCTCAAAGGGGAATGGAAAAGAGCATAAGTCAGAGAGACTTACAGATTGGAAAATAAAAATAAAACATCTGCAATGAAATAATAAAAGTAATAATTAGAAAATAATGAAAATAGTTATATATATATGCAAACATATACAAAAATTATATCGAACCCAACTGTCCCTCAGTAACAATCACCACTGATGCTGAAGAGCAGGAAGGAAATGGGGACATCCCAGACTCAGAGGCAGAGGGGAACTGGGTACAAGGGCTGGGTTTGGGAACTAACAGATCAGGATCAAAGGCAGAAGAATGGATGGAGTCCTCCTCAGTCGCCAGCCACTGAAGACCTTAACTCCCATAATCCCTCGACTTTATACTGAATACGACATACATGTAATGGAATATTTTTGGTCAAGTTTAGGTCACCTGTCTTGTCCATTTCTCCCCACAGATGTGGGGTTTTCACTTCCTTGTGACTCTTTTACTTCCCACCACCATGTGTTGCACAAGATCTAGCAGTGATCTTGTTTACTTTAGGAGCAAGCGTAAACATGAGCCTTTGTGCATACCAGTCCATGGCAGTAAGTTTAAACATCAGGTATTACCACTTCTAACAGCAGACACTGTCAGAAAATCGTGCTGTTAACTTCGGAAAGTGCCATCTCTTAGAGGAAACTGTGCTGAAAAGTAACATTTCTGAACTGGTTCTGACTGAGATCAAACAAGAACATACCTCCATTTCCTCTAATGACATCTGCTTCTCAGCATAGCTACGAGGGGTTGGATTCACCTCTTCGTAATTTTGCCACCCTGGAGTCAGGGGAAGGGCTTCTGCTGAACAAGTGGAAAGATCTATGTTGAAATACTCCTATCTTAGCTTCTCAGCTTATCCCCCTTCTTTCTGCACGGACAGAGAGAAGACATGAGGGAAATGTGGCTCATCTTGCCTTATATACATTTCTAAAAGCACTCTAGAAGTGTGAGGTTGTCTCTGAGGACTAAGGCAGGAGTCTAGTGAGCAGCTTAGATGAGTAAATTTTACTTCTCAACTTGGGCAGATAGGTTCATGCCTCAGCGTTTAAAGGCAAAATTTTCCAAGTTGAACCCCCCAGAAGGCAGCTCTGCTGAGAAGCCAGATGGACCCAGGGTCTGCTCTCCCTGCTGACAGACGAGGATTCCTTATTAGTTCTCTATGGGAGAACCAGTATCATCCTTAGGTAGGATGACTGAGCTGGACCATCACCTGAAGGATATCTTTCTCAGAGCATTGGAAAGAGAATGATTTACTGAAGGAACTCCAGATACCACAATGTCATGAGAAGAGTGGATGAACAGCTCTCACCTTCATGACCCACTTCAAGCTGTAGACAGCTGCCTGATGTTTTCTCTCCATCCACCTAACAGATATTGACACCGATTTTCTTTCCCCCTCTATACTGCCACAAAAGGAGGTTTTGTGCACACACACAGCATTAACACTCTCCATGAGAGCATATATCAGAGAGTCACCAGCATCATTAGCATAAGAACATCCTCACACCCACCTCATTAACACACTGAAGCTGGGCACACCAAGGAGATGATTTTCTGTTTCCCTTTGTGTGTCAAAGGAGTTTGATCTCAGGAGGTTCTTACGGGCTTGTGAGAGACGGATAATGCTCTCTCTTCACACAGGCCAATTAAAGAACAGCAATGCAATTCTCTAAGGTGACTGTCAGGCTGAGTGTTTGCCTCCTGCCTGCAGTTGTAGTGTGTGAACCTTGTCAAGAACTCGGTGCTCTCTTGTGTATCCATTTGCTGACAGGCAGGAGATATCTGAAAGAGCCCTGTTCCAAGAGACTGGAAATGTCAAGTATTTGGTGCTGGATACTAACATGGTCTTCAAACCTCCAGGGTGGGACATAACTAAACCAACATATGAGTACATAGCAAGTAAGGTGAGGAGTTCACCAACTACATTTCAAAGCCTCTAACTGCAGTTAAGGCCGAAGTATTCAGTTACTTAGTTGAAGCAACGATCTAAGTAGAGTTTTAAGAATAAAGTCGGATAAGACATGACAGTGATCTCCCCTGCCTCCAGAGCAGGAGTTTTCAGGTGACCTACTCATCTTTGTTCCACTAGTCATTAACAGAGAGAAACAGGCATTTTCAAGCCTCAATTCTGCGTTTTTGAAAGACACTGTCTCACATAGATCAGGCAATTCATGCCTTATAAGCAAAAAATTTTATTCTGTTCACATTCAAGATAAATTTAAGGTATGCAAGCTGGCTAAGACAACAGGCACACACACACAAGTCTCAAACTCTAAGCATCTAGAGTTAATGGAGAAGGCTCACACGCAGAGAGAGTATGTCTATGCTGCGCAGGGCCACTGCACAGGTGTTGAATTTGACAGAGTCATCTTCTGCAAGTCCTGTTTCTAAGGCTCCAATGTGGTTGAGAGAAAAGAGATACGCATGTGTTGTGAGGTGGAGATGCAGTTACCAAGAATACTGTGCCCAATTTGAGCCCATATGCTGACTATGAAGCGCTCTCCCTGCTGTCTCTCTGCCCTATTTTACCATGGACATGCGTATGTCTTCCTCAGCTCTAAGAGACAGTAACTGGAAGGGACCCCTTGCCCTGTGTCCCAGACTCCCATTCCTCTGGGAATGATGAAAGGTACACTTGTGCCCCTACCTTACCCCCTGGCACCCTAGGCAATACCTTATTTCATTTTCAGTATGAGACAATGTCCACAAGGAAAAGGATTACATAGAAGCAGAGGCTGGGATGCAACAAAAACTTTAATGACTCTGAGGAGGGAAATGAGATCAGCTGCAGAGGAGACAGCCAGAGCAGGGAGAGATACATCAGCTGCAGAAAATTTGTACCCATCACCCACAGTGGAGATCTCACAAGGCATCCATCTGCCTGCCCTAAAAAGACTGACTGGGGCCAGCAGATGTGCCAGATTGGCTCTAGGGTTTTTATGGCCTGGAAGAGCAGAAGACAAGAAAGAAATAGACAGAGTGGAAGGCCGGGAAGTTTGACTTTGGTCACATTTTCAGAAAGCACCAGTTGCATTCCTTTGAAAGAGCAGTTCTAGATGCTCAGCCTCTCTGAAATCGATGGCCAGAAGCTCTGTCCTCAGTCAAGAATTTAGGTCATGATTTCTGGGGCTCCTTGTCTGAGTTGTCACCAGTGGCTTTAGCAGGGGGGGCAGCGCCTGCCACAGTAGCGGTTGGGGATGCAGGGGGGGGCAAAGGCCCCCGAGG